GTGTACGACCCAAAAAAGAAAAAAAAAGTCCACTAGCTTGAAAACCTCGAAAGAGGCGGCCTAGGCAAAAGTTAGGACATAAAAAAAATCACCCATTTTGAATTACACTATGACTTGATTCTCTTCACCTAGGTATATAGGCATCTTAGAGTTTCATTCTCAGTTCAATCGCATAAGTTAAAAAGATACATAATCCCCCAATCGTTTTCCGAATGAAGTACGATGGAATGTAATCCATTCAATCAGTACTTGAAAATCGAGCCGAGATACCATTCTTCTGTTAAATTTTGGATTTCATTTGATTTAAAGGGGGAAATCCGCTTTGGTAAATTGGTGTCTTCAATGAAATGATTAATATCTTTTAGGAGGCTGCCAAACATTTGCATTGAAGTTCAGGGATTCGCTATGACTTCATGTTCGCCAAACCTTCAAGTTTTTTTTGGTCCCCAAATTCTCTCTCTGCCCTAGAAAAAAGGAGGGGGGGGGGAGAAAGAGAGGCATCAGAAGAGAACACAAGTATAAGAAGGAAGATTACCTGGCACGGCGTTTCAAATTTAGTGAGACTCAAGATATTTGTTGAGAATGAAGCTCTTGAATTTCAATTTCTGGCAATTAAAAAGGCCTTCTTATCTCGATACTTCCACACCAAGATACAAAACTTTGGTGAAGTGCGCTAATTTGGAACTGTCGGCATATCAGAAACCAAAGTCGACTTCAAACTATCATCTGAAACTATCCTTAAGGCATTAAATTTTACAATTTAGATATGTTTTAGGTTTTGAAGTCTAATTTTCAAGAAATCAAACGGTTCACAATTTCGACGTTCCTACATCAAAATACAAAACTTTTGGTGAAATCGCGCAAATCTGAAATCGTCAGTGTGTTAGAATTAATATTGACTTTGAAATATTATCTGAAACTATCCTTAAGGCATTAAATTTTGCATTTTGGATGTGTTATATATTTGGAAGTTCTGTTTCCAGTAAATCAAACGGCTCATGATTTTGACGTTCCTACATCAAGATACAAAAGTTTTGGTGAAGTCGCACAAATCTGAAATCGTCGTCGTGTCAGAATTTAATATTGATTTCGAACTATTATCTGAAACTATCCTCAAGGCATTAAAATTTGCATTTTGGATATGTTATAGATTTGTAAGTTTATTTTCCAAAAAATCAAAGGTTTCGTGATTTTGACTTTTCTACACCAAGATATGATTTTTTGGTGAGACTGCACAAATCTGAAATTTTCAACGTGGTGGAATCTAAAGTTAGTTTCAAAATATTATCTGGAGGCGATTCTGAAGGTGTTTGATTCTAAGTTTTAGATATTGAAGTCTAGTTTTCGAGAAATCCAACGGTTCGTTATTTTGATTCTCCCACGACAAGATATGAATCTTTTGTTACAAGCGCTTAAAGCTAAAAATTATGCGACTAAGATAATAGCCGGACAATGTAAAGCAAAAGAGAAGAAATCTTATTTAAGATAAGATAAATATCCACTAGGTTAATCTAACATAAAGATAAAAGGGGAGATAATGCTAATATCCTAATCTAAACAGAACTTGTAGTTGATCAATTTTTGACAACTAGTCTCCAGGTTCTTCTTCTTTTCCTCCAGATTGGCCGAATCATCAACATTCAGCAAATTTACGTTGTCATATGAAGAGACCTCAGTCTCGGCAGCTGAAACTTTTGCTTGGATCTCTTCAACCTCCTTTTGAGTCGCTTCTATAACACCTTCGAGGTTCTCCCTCTCTTGTTTTAATATCTGTAACCTCTTCACAACTCTCTTTAGTTTCTTTTCACTAGAGGAAACTTTCTTGACTTTCTCGATCGCTTCAAGTTTGAACAATTCGAGACGCTCCTTAGCTTTAGAAATCAGCTCTAGCTTCTCATCTTCACTCGTCTTATCAGCCATATTGGATCGCTATTGGTCATATGATGCGGCAAGCTCAAAAAGAGAATCCAGTAAACTCTCTAATGGAGAAAGATCCAAAACATTCGTCTTCTTCATATCCTCGAAAATCTCAATGATTTGCTCCCTATAAGATGAGAGCAATTCTGCACGAGTTTTGGAGAGTCTATTGCAAATATCCTCCCGAAGTCCTAAGATGAATTCCTTTTTGCGATTGAAGACAATGCTCTTTCCTTCAAAAATAGATACTGCTGCATTTGTCATTGGTGGAACGCGAGTTATCTCATTTGGAGTTTGTCTTTTTAGGGCTTTGTCATGAGGAAGAGATGGTGCCTTTGAAGATGACTTCACTTTAGACGTAGGCCCTCCAATAGATTCATTACTCACTTGCGGCTTGTCATGTGGTGATACCATCGGATGCCCAATGGAATTTAACTGCATAAGGAAAAGGCAAAGAAAGAAAGCAATTTTTTTAGTGAAGCTATTCGTTCAAGAAAAAAAAGGAAGGAAAAAGGCGAGGTGATTGTATTTTACCTCTTTGTTACAAGCTGTATGCGTTCTTAAGGGACTATCAGCACTTGGAACCTCTACGAACTCTACTAAGTTAGGCCGTTTCCTTTTTCAATTTTGACCTTCATTGGTACTCTAGCTTGTATCTTGAGGAACTCGCTTGCTAAATGGAAGAACTGGATGGTGTTTCTCTATATCTGTTGAAGTGCACACCAACTCTTTCAAAGCTGCCTTTGAGGATTTAAGATTCCTTTTTCTTATGTTGTGTAACTAGTTTTGGGATTGGAGTAGGTGGTTCTTTGACTTTTGAGAGCATCTTTCTAACACCTTGATCTTTATCTCCTAAAGGAGTAGTAAATTTTAGCCCAACATTGTCTACCAGAGATTGTAAATTATCCTCGAGAAACTTCCCATGCGCTTTCTCCCACCAAGACATATAATTGGTGGAGAAAAACATCTCCACAAGATCTACCATTGGGAGAAAAGCGGCACGTGACATAGATCGATACAGTGTGCAAATCCTCCAAAATTTGAGTCCATCTAGAGAGGCGCTACAGATATCATTCTCCAAAAAAACGGAGAAGTTCTGGTAAAACAAATATTGACGACCAAATCGATGCGGGCTATATGGATCGATGATGAATGAGTTATCATACCTCAAAGAGAGGTAGTTAAAACGTAAGCTCGTGAAGTAATTTGACTCCAACTCTTGAGGGGCCTCGTTATTCACATAATAATAAGGACGGAAATTAGTTAACATTGTTGGTGTCCAAACTATATCCTCTCTATTGTGGATGTGCTTTCTGGCATCCTTCTTGTCAAAGTATCTCGCGGCTCCCTCTCCCGAGTATGCCACCATCAAAGGGACGACCGGGCCCTTAGCAAGTGGATAATGGATTTATAGGTAATGTGCAAGCCAGCCGTAAACATAATGGATGGGAAAACAAACTTTGACCTGATCAAGTCGGGAAGAACACGAAATCTTATTCAAATCATGATAAATACTCGCCAAAACTGGAACCGCAAGGCTAGTATTTTGCCCGCTTGCCATCATGCTTGCCATCTTAAAAGTCTTAGGACGAATGAAGTTCTCTGTCTTATAGGGAAAGACAAAAGCACATACCCAACATGATAAGAAGTCTGCTATATATGTTTTATCTTTCTGGTCATACCTCACCCTAAGCTTGGAGAATATAGCTTCTTGATCACTCGACCACCTAGTTGTCTCGGGAATAACTCCGTTAGAATTATGTTTTGACTTTAAGCGCGCGGATTTCTTTTCCTTTCGCAGTGGGGAAAGTTTATATATTAAACCTTTCTTATACCAAAAATTTGTCCACTTGCTCAAGGAGACCTTTTGGTTAACACCCGTACCTTCCTTAAGGTGATGGAAGGCAGCAAATAAATACTCGCAAGATCGAGGAATAAATCTCATATGTTTTTCGTCCAAAACGATGAGTTCTCTTGCCTCAGGTACCACTTCTTCGTACGAAAAACCCGCAATGGGTAGACCTCCAAGGATATGTAAGTCCCAAAGAGAGATAGATAGTTCCCCAACTAATGTAAGAAGCATGTTCGTCTTGGGGAACCAAGCCTCACAAAATGCTTGCAAAATGTTCGAGTTTCGATCATAAGTGAAAGTGAGGCATAGACAACATCATAAATCTTTATTTTACTCAGGGTTTGTTGGCTTCCACCAAGTATATCTTCAGCCCATTCCCAATATCCTGGAATATGACGATACTCGCCCTCGATTGTTGTTGTGTTTCTCCAACGTACTTCTCCTTGAATTATGCGACGCCCTAAGTTTGGAAGGGTGCTAGCAATGTTTATATGGCGATGGATTGACGCATAGAGAGACCATATCTTGGACAATGGATTAGAAGTAGACATGTGCTCCAAAGTCCAGTTTTCTACATGAAGCGAGTTCCTCAAAGAAGGCCTTGAGGCTGCATACCGGCCAGCTTGTGGGGTGTGAACCAAAAGCTTGGTTTGTTGTATGCCATATTCAGTCTCGATTACGAGATATCTAAGTTTGGAGTAAGGTGAGGTATAGTCTTTGAAATTTGTCATCTCTTCGGGTTGCAAAGGACAAAAAAAAGTCATCAAAGACCAAATCGAGAATATTAGAATGGGCACAAAGGTCTAAATGGATGAAATGGCCTCCGGTTTTTTGCGGTGACGGATATCCATTCCTTCACACCCTAAGAGTAATCTCTCCGATGGTCGGGCCACCTTGAGAGTAATTTCTTCGATAGTCGGGCCACCTTGAGAGTAATTTCTGCGATAGTCGGGTCAACTTAAGTGTAATCTCTCCGATAATCGGCCACCTTGAGAGTAATCTCTCCGATAATCAGGCCACCTTGAGAGTAATCTCTCCGATAATCGGGTCATCTTGAGAGTAATCTCTCCGATAGTCGGGCCACATTGAGAGTAATCCTCCGATAGTCGGGCCACCTTGAGAGTAATCTCTCTGATAGTCAATTAATATCTTAAAGTTATATTTTTGATTCTTTTTAATTAATGTCCTAAAGCATCTTTTTACGTGAAGATCAACTGGATGTTTGCAAAAAATGGGTAAAATAAAATAAAGATATTTGTTACCTAAATACTTCAAGCCTAGTCTTCAAAAGTTTAAAGATCTTGACGAGCCTTGAAGTAGGGGGCATTTGTAGGTATATAAGTTTTATCGGAGTTAAATCCAATAAAATAACACGGATCATATTTTAAATGCAAGATATATTAGGCCAAACAAATATTATGGGCTAATATTGAATTAATTAAATAAGTCAAATACATATGGGTTAAATAAATAGGTCCAAATCCATTGGGCTACAAGTAATGGGCCCACTCCATTAAGCCCAATATGTCATCTTCCTAGAGGCCCAATTCGGTGCCACATGTCAAATAAAATGGCACGCCAGATCAAACAAAAGAGCCAATAGGATCATGCCACATGTCAAAAATGACAAGGCATGCCGAGTCACATTAAAAGGCTAATGAAATCGTGCCACGTTTGCAAGTGACATGTTCAGGCCAATCAAATGTGGCCTTGTCACACTTCAATTTGATTAGTCGAAAAGAATTTGTTCTTATCATAACTCTTCCCTTCCACAACTATAAATAGGGATCTTCATATACACCAGAAGTTAACAAGAAGTAAGAGAGAGCTCGTGGATCAAACGCCATAAATTTTCTACAAGTTTCAAGCTTCAAGCAATTAAGTTCAAGAAATCAAGTTCAAGCTCAAGAAGAAGAACAAATCAAGATTCAAGGAGTACAAGTTCAAATCAAAGTTCGTGCTAGTTGAATTCAAGATCATCGTTCGTGGCAACAACCACATATTCAAGATCAAGCTCAAAGGCTCTTGAATTTATTTACTATTAGAAAGAAGAATCAAGGGATTCATAGTGATTGTACACTCATATTATTTGAAATCAAATACTACGATTGTTGAAATATTTTCGGTCTTGATTATATTTTCTCGACGTAATTTATTGTCTACAGAGGCATATATATTTTGTGTGGCTATAAATTATTGAATAAAGGTAAATTATTTCCAAATGTAAAATATAATCATCCTTTATGCACAGACTAAAAGAAAATATGTTGACATAAATTGAAACGGAGGGAGTAATATTTTATGAGTAATTGACTGATATGAATAGTATTTTATGAGTTAGGGAGTACTAATATTTTATGAGTAATTGACTGATATGAATAGTATTTTATGAATAATTAATATTGATGATAGCATTTTTGCTTTGAAAAATTAAACCGAGTAGTTTCTATAAGCAAAGAAAAAGGAGTATTGAAGACCTCCGAATTCGGTTAAAACTTAAATGTGCAGGTACAGATAACAAAATACTACAAATGAAAAAGAAATTAATAAATAATTTGGTGGGTGTATATTAGTTAAACTACCAGCCCTAAACATGGAGGAAAATGTGGAAATAAACCAATTTTCACAGCTCAACACAAAAACCTTTGTTTTTTGGTCGATTTTTATGCCTCCACCCTCATACCTCCCTAAACTCCTCGTCCCTTTCCCCCGTGTGTATCGTCTCTTGCTAGGAGTTTTTTTGATTTCCTTGTTAAATCTCATCAATTTCACCGCCCATTTTTACCTACAAAACCCTCTCAAATTCACTCTTTTCACTCTCCAAATTCATATAAATCACGATTTGTTGATTTGATTTGTTTTTTGATTGGCAATGGCTTCTTTCACTGTCCAATGTCCTAAGATTTCTTCTATATTGAATGTTTCATCACAGCCCAACACCACTCACAATCAGCCACAAGCTTCTGTTTCCTTTCGATCTGATTTGAGATCCACCTCTACATTGTTCCCTCGACTCCAGGTTATTTTCATTTTTTTGCTGCTCAACGATTGAATTTTTAAATGATTTTTGTTGAATGCATTTTGATTTTGAATGTGGGTTTTGTTTCAGGGTCTACTCGACTCCAATCTGAGGTGTTTAAGGTGTGTGCCCGACTGACTGAGGTAATTTACTTCTCTCTTCTTTTAAATGCAGTGTAGGGGGAGAATGGCCTATACCTTGATCTACTGTGTAAATCACACAATTTTGATTTTATTGCACCAAAAGTCACTAATCTATTTTTTTTAACAAAAAATCACTCCACTTTGCAAGTATCACAGAAAGTCAGTAAAGTAGTTTTGTAGCAAAAAATTCACTCAACTTTGCTAAAGTATCGGAAAGTCATTAAACAATATTTTTGTAATAAAAATTTAACAAACTTTATCTAAGTATCATATAAAATGTTATTTCCTCCTAATCAAAATATTGAGCGACTTTTCGGTTATAAAAATAGTTGGTGACTTTTGTGATACATTGGTAAAGTTTAGTGATTTTTTTGTTACAAAAAACTAATTTAATGACTTTAGGGCAATAAAGCGAAAGTTGAGTGACCACTCATGAAATTAACCCCTTGCTCTACTATTGCTTTGCGCCAAGGATTGCCATTGATGATAGTTCATGTTTGCCTGTTGAAGCTTGGAACTTAAACAAAGAGGAAATGTTGGTTTAAATTTGTTTATTTTGATTATGTAATTTTAAGGTTGTTATCCTCGAGAAGTCTACCGATTCAAAACAAGTTTCTGAGAAAAATGAAGAGGAAGTTCCAAAATCTGAGCACACAAGTGCAGATGCTTCATCCATTCAAGAATTCATGTCTCAAGCTGCCCATCTTGTTAAGTGCGTTGAACTCTTGTCATGAATATTGTTCATTTTTTTGTTTTTCTTTTGGTAGAATTTATTTTTTTCCCCATTTATTTGTATTCTTGTGTTTAGGCTTGTGGATTCGAGGGACATCGTGGAGCTGCAGCTAAAGCAGAGTGACTATGAAATTGTCATAAGGAAGAAGGAAGCAATGCCCCAACCACCCATTGCAGCGGCTCCCTATGTTACGGCGCCCCCTTCTTTTTCACAAGCACCACAATTGCCTCGTGTGAGTGCCCCTGCCCCTGCCGCTGCATCTCCGCCATCTTCCGCACCTGCACCTTCAAAGCCTAAGTCATCACATCCTCCACTCAAATGTCCCATAGCTGGTACATTTTATCGTTCTCCAGCCCCAGGGGCCCCACCTTTTGTAAAGGTAAATACACACAATGCTTTCACCTATCTCTAATGGTCACGTTGAAGTATGCTATAAGTATCTTCCTGGCGTGTTTAATGAATTAGCAAGTAGATAAAAGGACTAACAACTCCAAAGCTAGTAAATTTGCGCTATTTTCTTAAAGTTTGGGATGTAGTAGATTTGTCAAAGCAGGATCCTTGTACCTTCTTTGTGTGGATAGATGTTGCACATTTTGGCGCTCGAAAACTGGGAGAAAATTGAAACTTAAATGGATCCTACTGATTGGCTCTTACTCGGTGTCTTATTTTTTTTCACGTAAATTGAATGTAAATGGTCTACTTTCATTACAATATTACCCCATTTTCTGTCCCTTATTACAATCTCAGCAGCAGGGGTGGGGGATGTTGGTTCCTGGTACATGTGTAGTGTTCCATTATTGATAGGCAATAGAACCTCCTTGAAATTGTCAGGAAAGACAAATGAAATGGAAATTAGAAGAAAAATCTATTTGTTTTCCCTTAACTATTGTTTTCCCTGAATCACAATTTTACTTGTTTGAATATGTCACAAAACCAAGAAACCAACCAATTAAGGGGAAATTCATGCTAATATCTCCCATACTTTTGTGGTAGCCTGCTCATTTACCTTTTTACTTTCTATGTTCTTGCCTTCTTGGTCATGCAGTTGTCTCATAAACTGATAATCCCAGGTAGGAGACAAGGTCCAGAAAGGACAAGTAATTTGTATCATTGAGGCCATGAAATTGATGAATGAGATCGAGGTTAGTTCAGGCTCAATATTCAACTTTAATACTTTCCATATAATATTATTTTTTAAAGGTGACCTTAAAATATATCAGTATTTTACAATTTGACGTTTACCTGCAAAAGACCCTTAATTATAAGTTGTTGAATTTTAATGTCTGGAATTGAAAGTAATATTGAATTGTCTTGTGAAATTCTTATGAGTTATGTGTAGTGAAGTTGCTTGGGCCGCTCTTTTGTAACTGAGACTATCACAATTCATACGAGATTTTAAATTCCTTTTCCATGCCTTCCTCTCATCATATCTTCTGAATTCCTTTATTAGGCTGATCAATCTGGAACTGTAGTGGAGGTAGTAGCAGATGACGGTAAGCCTGTTAGTGTGGACACGGTATGTATAGCTCTCTCTCTCGGTTCGTATACATATAATTAGCTTAGAACTTGGCATAGCCGTAGATATAGTATCTGATTTCCTATCTTTTCTTGCAGTCGCTGTTCATCATTGAACCATGAGGAAGAGGGTGCAGCCTTGTTATCTGCTGTTAACATAGGTGGAGTCAAATATTGAGATATTTAAGTGTAGTTCAGCTGTACCATCATATTTATAGATTGTATTTGGAGTTCAACTTGTTATGCTTATAATTTTTTGGAAACAATGCAACAATCTTTATAATGTTGTGGTTTCTTTTCTCCCGTATATCGTCACCTTGCTCTCTTTTTTGAGTGTGCATATGTGCGTCACTGGAAGTTGTTTAAAGCATCTATTTCCCACTCAAATTTTTCACATTTACCGCAGTTGCTTAAAACTTTAAAGGGAACATATGCTGGTATAACTCTCTAAAGCATACTTCATTAAGAAGGAAAAGAAAGTCAGCTTAATTATAATATCTTCTCCAACGTGTTGATGCAACTGAAAGCAATTCTCTTGTTCAGAGTAAAGGTGTTATGATCATAACAATTTATCTAAGTTTTATTTTGTTTCCGTTTGTTGGTTTGAGATCCCCTAATGCTTAAGAGATGATAGTAAAATGAGGTATTGTAGGTGTGAAAGCTAGTTATGTTTGCTGCTCTAACGGGAAACATATGGTTGTTGATGTTTTACCTCACTTTTGAGTTTTTAACACACGTTTCTATCGTGCCCATTAATTTTTTCTTTAAGGGTGTATATGGTACGGTGGAAGTTATTTTTCATAAAAAATATTTATCATTCCGAGAAAATATTTTTTGATGTTTGGTTGGTGAGTGAAAATATTTTATAATATACTCCCTCCGGTCCATAATAAGTGACATTGGCCTTTGACACTGTTTCGCCAAAGAAATAAATTTTTGGATAATATTAGAATTTGAGATGAAAAATCGGGTTAATGATAATCAAGAGACCAAAATAATAATAGGCTTTCTGAGAATAATAATAAAGCAGTAAGCAAAAGTTCTTATTTCAGTATGAGGTAAGTCATGTCCTTTTTCCAATACAATTTCCTCCTTTTATAGTTGATTCTAGGTAAAGGAAATAAATCTAAGCTTTAATGAGACAATTATGGACAATAAATGACATTAAATAAGCCGTTACACAATCATTCCTATTAAATACCAATTTTCTAACGTATCAGGTATTTAATACTGAACTTGGACTCCTTTTTGTCTTCAGATTCATGTCTTCAATGCCTTTCGACCCGCTGGCTTTAAATGACTTCGAATTGGTACGAGACTCGTGTCTAAACTGCTTCTCGTGCCTATTTCATTTATTCTTCCCGTACCTGTCATTTCCCGTACCTTTTTCCCAACTGTTACGCTTTGACCACTTGTCCAGTCCACGTGTCATGCCACGTCATCTTCAATATAAATTCAACTTTTTTCCCAATACAGATAGTCCCCCCACTTTCCATTTATTTATCAATTAAATAATTAGGAAGTGGACCTTCGTAAAAAAGGAAATTTTGCCATAATCAATGCGTATGACAATATTGTCGTCTCAATTGTCTTTTCCATTTAATGTTTTGTCCATGTGTCACCTTCTGATTGATTCTGCTATTTTGCTACCCTTTTTCTAAAGCTTCGTTAATCCCACTATTCACGAAGTGATAGTTGCCTTTATTATAGGCTTTCCATCATTACTCTTCTAAGTTTGACGGTTGCCATCATATACATACTTAACCTTTTCTTCCTTTGTCCTCTTCTCCATAAATCTTTAGCTAACGTTTCCCTTCTTACTTTTGTCTCTCCTTCGATTCATCTTTGCTCACATGGCGTTACCAAACCCGTAACCTCCTAAAAAGGAGGTTCCAATTTTAGACACACATTCCCCAATGCTCCCTGTTATGACATAGAAGAGACAGAGAGGGCAGGACTTCCGTACTACGGCGTTAGAATGCTATCGAGGCGGTTCTTCTGGCTCTTCTTTTGGAGTTCTATTCTGAAAACTCACCTTCTTCTAAAGGTAAAGAATTTCTGATTCTTCTAGGGAACCTTTAGTTGATTGAAATGCGGTCACAATGATTTCATGCTCTTTGTAAGTGATAGACAATCTCTTAAAGCAAGTATTGTTAGTTTAGAAAAAACTGATACTTATCCTACATTAAGTGACCTGGAACTTACATCCCTCCAATCAGAGACGTGTAACTGGAAAATTAGCTTTCGATTGTTCAATTCCTTCATATAATCAAAGATTTCTTCTTTATAGGATCGGGTCTCTTTTGTTTATACTATACCTTGTTACTTTGGCGTTTTAATTCCCCCAATTGACCAGTCATCCTCGATTTTTGTCGTTTCTTGTATATTTTTTGGCCCAAGGTGGCCCTTTAGTATGGAGACAGTGGCTTGTTTGAGATTCTTTCTACCAAAGACCACTGGTTGATTTACCTTTTCCACCTTATCCATTTATAATGCTATTTAATACGTCATGGAGTGTTTACCTTAACGAGAAGAAGCAAGAAGGTTTTGGTGAGGCACGGAAGGATGACAATGATCGTGGTGTACGCCCGTTACGTTGCTGTGCGTACGGTGGATTACTGGTGAAAGAAATAATTCCCTTCCCTAGAAGGTGGAATTTTGCACGTAAGTTTTTTTTTTTTTTTAAAACTGTATTGTTTGGAGAAGTTTCGATTCTTTTTTCTTGACTTAGTTTCTTTTTGGTTTTTTGTACACATGGGAGATGTGGAACCTGTTTCCAACTTTCGTGGTGTGGGTAGATTCAATTTTTGAAGATTGCTCCTAAGGACAAAGAACTTGGAAATATCTTCTGCTTTTACATTGGCTGTAGAGTTTAAACGCATGGACGTTTTTTTTTTACAACACTTTTTTTTTGCACATTTAAGTATTTTTTCCTTATTGTTTGAATTGTGTATATCCATCTTTTTAATCAAGATTTGGTAACAAAGGAATGACAGCTGGATGGTTTTGCTAAGGCCCATCGGCATGTCTGGTAATGCTGCACTTGAATTGGACAGGCATCGCAACTTACTTCAAACAAGGAAACTCTAGGAGAAGGTTCAAGATGAGAAGGGAGGAAGTCTCTTGTTAATAGTAGGCCAGAATTAGGAGACGAGTATTAACGATGATGAGATTAAGATACTCCTGCTCACTTCGACCACCGAGCCTGTTTTGATTCCTTAACGAGGATATACGTGCCAAGAGACACAAATGAATCAACTCAAAGCTCTCTTTACTGAGTGGTTTTGAGAGTGGACGGGTACTCGCGACCCTGTTTTTTGATAAAGTATCCTCTTTCTTCATTCGCACACTACTTTCAGTCTCATTCTTTGCACCCTGTATGGTGTTTCCTTGTCAGCATTGACACTTCTGCTCTTTCACCAGTCTGTCTTTCTACCTCCAATTCTATGCTATACTTTTACCATTCCTGCTTTCAACCTCCCAGCGACTCCTGCCGGTGTTCACCTTTTCTACTACTCCCCGTTCCGCTGTTCCATCTTCATCCATCCCACATGATAGAAGCAAGTATCTTAGCATTTAATACGAACATGACTTATGAGGAAGTGTACACTCCCTCGAAATCCCTGCTAATCAAAGCTTTTAAGAAAATCTGAGAGAGCTGACACTTTGGCTCGACCTCTTATTGAGAGATGAAGAAGAATAAGATGCAAGCTCATAGTGTTAACTTATTGATGCAGATGACATAGTTATTCAACTTGAAAGGTAATTTATCTTACTTTTGATATGCTTTCCTTCTTTTTCTTTTTAAAGTTCACTTCTTATGCTTTATAACCGTAGGCTAATCTTATTGAATGATCTAGATGGGACGAGTCTTCTACATTGGAGAAAAAGGAGCGAGAGTCTACAAAGGCTCTATCTGAAGCTAGGAAAATAGCTGAAGATGCCTTATTTGAAGCAGCAAACTGGAAAGAACAATTTGAGAGTGCCCAAGTGACTATAGAGGAATTGCAAGAGAACAAGGCTCACTTGGAGCAACAAAATCGTGGCTTAACTTCTGAGTTGGGAATTATGAATGCTTCTTGGGGTCAGAGTAAAAGGGATAAAGAACTTCTGGAATGCTCTCTATCTAAAGCCAATGAGGAGATTAAAGAACTTAAGGCACTCATGGAGAAGAAAGAAGAATACGCAAGGGAGTTAGCTCAAAACTTAACTCATGCTCAAAATGACTTAAGGATTTCTTCTGACAAAATTCGTGCCTTGGAAAGTTCCCATGCCTCTCTTGAAGCTTCCTTAGATTCTCACTTAGCCGAGCACCAAATAATGAAAAATGACCTTGCTATGTGGGAAGAAGAATATAAGGCTTTGGAGAAGGAATATAATGCTCTTGAAGAAAATTTCAACATAGACGTGAGTTGGGCTTTTCTAAATTCTCGACGTGATGCTTTGATGGAGGCTACACAAGAAAACTTTGACTTGCAATCTGAGTTGGCCAAAGTCATAGACACTATCGAAAAAGGTCAACAACCTGCTGATACTCCTTCTCCGGCACTTGGAAATATTGACACCCCCTCTCCAGCACTTGAAGCTCCTGGAACAGAAGAGTGTTTGAACTCCGAAGCAGTCACTGAGGTACTTGAAGTTATAACTCCAGCTTCCGAAGTTGAAACTTCTATGACACAGTCTATGGAAATTGAAGTTCCTGTGACTGTTACTTCCCTCGTTGATGTTATCTCTCCAAGCTCAACTGAAATCGCTTCTATTGCTGTTTCGTCAGAAGTTGTAACCGCACCTGTTATTGCTTCAGAAAGTGATGTTACAACTTTTAATGATTGTTAATGTTATCCCTTGGCAATTTTGAAGGGATCTTTTGGTGAAGTCCCCAGTTACCATAATGGGGCACTTGTAAGATAAATATTTTGGTGACTAAGTTTTTCCTCAGTCTTTTTATGTTAAGAAGTTTTATGAGTACTTCTTTATATTCTATTCTTGCCTTCTTACTTATTTAGGACTTATGGAATAGCTTAGCACTTTTATCCTTTGAAAATGCTTTATGATTCTTTTCATGGAATATCAACATGAGGTTTATAAAAGAGGGCCCTTTTGCTTTATAGACACTTAATGAA